CACCACATTTAAGGTTATTTTTTTCTTTTTTAAAACGTGGTTTTTTAGATTAATTTTTTAATCTACTAAATTTCTCAACCCTGAGCCAAGTTATATTTTGTAGAGGAGATGGTCCACACTCCACGCATATCCTGGCTTCCATGTAGGTCTCCAAAAAACACCAAAACATTCCGTCATCCGAAAGTTTTAAGGTTAATGAAATAACAGCGGGACGAATAGCACAGATTCGGGATTATTCGTTTGATTGAATGGTATTCTCACCTCCTGACACACGTCGACTTGACAAAACACAAGTTACGACAAACATTTCCAGCGTAGATTAATTTATTTTTCCCCCAGTGGACTTTAATAAAAGGTATCTAACTTCAATAAAAAAATTTTCGTGGACCTTGATCATTTTCTTATCAGCTGAGCGGTGCGGAATTTCTTCGGAAATCCAAGTGAACCTCAGAAAACGAAGTCTCAGCATGAAGACCTCATTCCTGAACAAAGAAATGAAACCTTACTGGCCCTTTTTCATGGGAAGGAATCTGAAAAAGAAAATACTGCACACATTTTCATATTTCATAATTGTATTTCGGAACATATGCTAATTTGCCCCAACCCGCCGTGTTTAAAGCATTTTCCCGACCCCTTCCCGAAAGCTCCCGAACATATTTCATAATTTAAATTGCAAGATATGGGGAAAATTCACTGCCACTCTGGAGAATGCGTGAATTAAAAAAAAAAAATTATCACACGATCACGTACAGTGGAACCCCCACATACAGATGATTTGACTAAGGGACATTTGAAACGTGCAAAAACTACCCGGACATCAGGAAAATATCTTCAGATACGGACAGTTCGTCAACATTCTGTATCCATAAAAATGGGGAAACACTTATTCCCTCTAATCTTCAGGAGTTTTCGAAATAAGAAAAACAAGGGTACATCAGCTCGATGAGATTCCAATTAGTTTGTTCCCTTGTAAGGAGTTGTCCTGAGTTCTGCTTTTCTCTTTTTGTTGGTGAATCTAGTGAAGAGATATCGCAAAAGAGAAGGAATCACAATTAACAAAAAAAAACATTTTCTGGGAATTCTGGCAAATTCGGGATTTTCAACGGTTTCATGAGTTTTTTGAAATTCAAAATACGGTACCTGATCCCAGATAAATTCACCCTTGTTTCCGATCATTCATTCCTTAAAATTGAAAAAAAAAGAGTAGGGCGGAGTAAAAAAAAATGTTGCTGGAACACAGGAGAGACGGTTTTGAAGTGGTGGAATTTGATGGAAATGAAGGAGGCACGTGAGAAATTCGGACGTAAGGCACAGGAAAAAATTCAGAGTGGAAGAGAATGTAGAGATGTACGTCAGAAGAGAAGAAAAAAAAACTGGGCCCAGGTGCGGGGCACAGGTGGGCGCTCGTGAAGCGTTAATTGCAAGCCACCTGACACCGGTGGAATTCCAGTGAGGTCAAGGGTGTGTGGCCAGGTATGCAATTAGCGACCAGCGAGGTCACCAGGGGGCGCGCGTGTTTGCCTGCCAAATTCGACACGCCCTTTCCAGGGGTTCTCACGCGCGCCCTTCCCAGAGGGATTTCACTATAAGGATTCTCCTCCGTTTTCTGGGAGCGGTCCGCATCACTTCAGTGAATTACGCGGTGATTTTTTAAAGGAGCGTTTACTTTTGTCGAAAAAATATGTTCAATGCCGCGGGAATGCACAGTATTTTCAGGAGTGTAGCAGAATCTGTTTGCACGGTTCTTTTTGTGGAGATAATGAATGAAAGCATCATAATAAAAGGTTGTCCTGTTATATTCTTCAATCAGCAGGTGAAATCTCTCTACAATGAAATTCAAAGGATAAAAAAATTACTGTGGAGAACATTCAATTGCAATGAAGCCCTATAACATGGGGAGAGAACCCTATGGGGCTCAAAAATTGGTTATACAGAGAATATCATTGTAGAAAAGATTGTTGTGAAAAGTATTCATCTAGTGCTCCAAACCATTTTGGGCCTCTGGTCCAGTACATTTCCATACAATTTTCGCAGATGGGATTACTTACCAGGTGGTATATGCCACTATTCCCAAAAATACAACAAAACCTCTATGGGACAACCACTAAGGAAAAGCTTGACAAAGGCAACAAGTTTTACAAATTTTATTATTTTTAGAAAATTGTAGCACAGTAAAATATGTATATTTTGCCTAGACTTCCTTATTCTGTCCAACATTGATTGTATTTCATTTCTGGAAAATTTTTTTCATCAATTACAAAATGGGACCAGTTATTTGCTCAACAGAGATGAACAGTGTGATAATGTTTTTCTTCTGAAAAACATGAAACTATATTTGAAGATCATTTCATGGATTTAAAGGAAGAGCAGACATGTATTCTCAGGATGATGTTTCACAAATAATTCAAAAATATCTGCTGCAGTGATAAATTAGTACAGTGGACCCTCACATAACAACCACAATCAATTTCAGCGGGATTGTCTTACAGTGAACCAGTTGTTATTTATTGATTCTTCCTGGTGTCCCATTATGAAGAAATTAATTCGGACTTGAAAGAAATTTATGGGCCCATTTTTATTCAAAATGGAAGATTTTGCAGGAAGTGTACCAGGTGTCCAGAACCAACATAAGCTATGCCAATAGGAGTTTGTTTATGATTAAAATAATGTGCAGGATGATTGATGATCAGGATATGGCAGGAGCATCACAGGGGCAGCGCCCATCCATGCTTCTGCTGCAATGCTTCTGCCATTTACTGTATAGGCAGCAAAAGAGCGGCATCCCTTTTTTGTCAAGTTCAAGAAGAAGCTAATCGTAAAGCAAAATTAAACAAGGGATCATATCCAGTTTACAGCAATTCAGTAGTATCTTGGAAAACTTGATATTTTACAAAAACCAAACTTATTGCTGTTGTGTCAACTCCAGCTATCACAATTACTGAAGATCAGCTACTGGAAACCCAACCTACCAAATTTCAGAAACAACTACATCAACTTACAATGAAGCTTACAACTAACAATTCTTGGAAAATTTTGGGGGTACGTTGGCTGGCTCCAATCGTTGTGATGTGAGTAGGCAGTCCGCATAAGCAGGTTTTTTCAAGACCACCAGCGATCATCAAGCAAAATGTGAGCTGGTCATCAAGTGCAGGCCCACTGTAATCCAAAATTTGAGTTTTCCTACCTTGTCAATCACAGAGAGAATACACAACTGTCTGTCCTTCCTTTAAATCCAATAAATGTTTTCCAAATGAAATTTCATCTTGTCTTCATTTAAAAATTGCACACCTTTCAACTGCTAACCAGACAACAAGCGCCATTTCGTTGATGTGAAAAAATGGACCCAAAAATACAATACTTTGCAATCAATGTTGAGCAGAGGAGAATCTATGCACGCCTGGTCATGATCAGAAATTACCTAAGCAAAGTGATCTTTTTCAGGAATGAATGTGCTTGGTCTTTCCACAGGGGAGATTTGGGTCCAGAAAACAGGCTGTAATATGAGGAATACATTATGCGTTAGATTTTTAGATTTGGGACTTCAGTGCTTGATCACTGTTTCAGTTCATGTGTGTCTCTGTCTCTCAAATTTGATCCATCTCTGCGTATGAGAATCCCTCCTCATCCACCAATCAAAATCTACAGAAAGTGAACCGAACACTGCACTTCGTGTTTTTTCAATATTTTTATGAACCTTCACAACTTGCAAAAAATTTCAACTTTCATCAACAAATTTAATTCTTCCCCAAAAACTCCTTCTCTCCTTCCATGTTCCAAATCAATTTGAATCTGCCATGGACTTGAAATTGTAATGAATGATGATCTTAACTAATCCCATAAAAATATTTCATGGAGCAAATTGGGTTTTAAGGTACTGTAGTTAAGAGACTGAGTTTATTCCAGAAAATTGTCTTTATTACTACACCAACATTTTAATTCAAAAGTTGTAGCAACTATTAGAGGATGAAAATTGGTATTAATTCATCAGCATACATCCTAAGGCCTGGTTTCTTGTTGCGGCTCTCCCATTCGACACCATCAGAATAATCTGCATCGAAGCTCGGCGGAAGGATCAAATCTGAGTCGGCATCTCGTCCACCTGAAAAACAAATCCATGCGCAAATTGCAGGAACTCAACCTTCAATTCAACACTTCAAATATTACCGATAGAGGACTTGAGTGTGTGGACGGTGGCAGGGCGAGTCCGTCCAGTTGTCCAGTCGTCTAACCAAGACAAAAGTCGAACCTCCCCACGGATTCTCTTTTGAAAATTGCGGCTTGGAATGAAGACCAATTGACTTTTCTTCCAGGATCCGTCGCTCCCGTGATCAACCCGCGGTCATACCTTCAGATAATTTTTGGAAAAATTCACTCCCACTTCTCAGCACAACCTCGTCGCGCGGTAAAAAGATTTCTGATAAAAAAATCTTAGCCAAGTGTGGCACTCAAATGTTCAAGTCATGTCTAAATCAACAAACGTATCCCACCCGAACCAATCCAAGTTGACGAGGATACCTCGAAACACAGGAATTAAAGAAGGCATGTACGAATATGAAAGAGGGTACAAAATGAATTCGACGTCGATGTCTTGCTCGTAAAGAAAATCACAACCAAGAAAAACGCAAGTTACACCATTCGACCCTTCGCCGATTTAACCCGAACAAGTCGGTGAATACTCCAAGATTCTTACGATAATGAACGCTGTGATTCTAGCCCGAAAGTGTAAGCCAGGAATTGTAACCGAATGCGAGAATCCGAACAGCCACGCGTTGAAATCACGTATTCGGTTCACATATACATGCTAAGTTCAAGAATGTGGGAGGTGACCCTTCATTACTTCAGAAAATAGCGAACGGATTCAACAGCATCCGCAAAATACCTGTACTGTACATACAATCCATCACTGGAGTACTGTACAGCTTTACACGCAACGCTGGTGAGGTGCGTCACCTGCACAAAAACAGCGTAATCACGTGTATTGTACATGGAGCATCATACACGAATTACCACGAAAAAACCGGACTTGAACTGACCCATATCCCACAGTTGATGCACGAAATATGTCATTGGCATTAATGTCCATTATTTTCCTGACAACAGTGTAATTCTTCAGATTTTCTTTTTAAATCACTGACTACAACTGAACAGATTGCTATACTCCTGTAAATTCCTCCAGAAACTTCACATGAGGCTTCCAATCCAACGTTTTCCATAAGAAAATAACAAAAGTCAGAAAAATATCCTGAACTACCGCATTTACTCAAAAACCAATTGCCCCGAGTATAAAGTTTTCAAAGCTTTCGCGCATCTCATGCTTCATTTCAACAGGGGATTTCGCTAACCTCGGTCATTTATAATCAATTCTAAAAACGGATATGATGAAAAATGAAAATAACAGCATTCGATTATGCTGAAGTCCAATTTCATGAATTTTATTTTCAAAATATTATAATTTTTGGTCTCTAGAAATGGGGCGCGCGTCTTAGGGTATACATAATCATCAACATCTTAGTCTAAAACATCTGAGTGCATGCTTTACTTGAGGGCGGTATTCCAGTGAAAAAGGTAGGTGCTCCACCAACTCATGGACATCTATCTTTATTCAATAGGAGTTCTTCAAGGAAGAAAGATGCTATCAAGTTTAAGGACGCAGAAGCAGTTGCATTCCGCCGTCGATGACCGAGTTAGCAGGAGCAATCAATCTTCAAGATCTTCAAGTTAGCAGGAGTACGTGCAGTTGATGACAATTTGGCCCAGCACTACCAATACGGGAAGGTCACATTCCTCACGAGTATAAAAGTATTGTTCGTCATCAACAATCCATGCTACATCACGGACATTGTTCTTCAGCCCATAACCGGTTTTAACGTACCTTCGACATTGGGGTTCCCAGATTTCTTGTAAAACCCCTGCGTTTCTCTGCCAATGGCTGCTTCGGTGCTTCCGATTCCTCAAGAGTCACAAAAAGGATGATGATCGGCATGAAAATGGACACGGAGGACCATGACGCCAAACAAAGCTCGGTGGAACCGCAATGGCCATTTTGAAGGATGTATTTCGGCTTCTCGTTCGGTAACGTCAGCATGGCGGGTTCCTTTTAAAATCAGGGCAGGCACCAGCAGACAAGGATAATGAAGCAGCTCAAGTGCAATTCTCGATCTTCGCAGTTCATCTCATCAAACGCCGCCGCAACAACTCAACCATTGTAGAGTATCTCGCGGTTTTCCTCAGCAAGGCGCTTCAGTTGTAGATTGGAAGTTCCATGACAAGCTGCACGTTACTAGATTTCACGCTCTTATGGGAGAATACCAGCCACTCGCCAAGAATTCCGATTCTCGTACATACGCCCGAACCTTCATCAAATCCAAATTATTTGGAGAACGAAGAGAGGGAACAAGACAAGTTTAACTCACAAGTTGAATAGGATCGCCTTCTTCCATGACTTCATCAACTCGTTCGAGGCTTCAGGTGAATACCCGAGGAGCAAAATCATTCTCCGTGATTATGAACACGATCGCGTCCTCCTGTGAGAATTACGAAATAGATATATAACTGGAATACGGTCATTCGAGATATCAAAGAAATATGGAATTGGGAAAAGAATTCACGACAGGAAATCCTCTCCAATCCCATCGGAAAAACTAAATTTCGAGGTTACGCTCCACGAAGAATTTCAATTCAATCGGCCACCTTTCGTCTGATCACCAGATGTGAGCCAGGGAAGCAACACTTCTTGCCTATTCCTTTATCTTAAGAGAACGGAAATCTCTTGAACATACATGAACACCGCGATGAACCGTCGAAACAGCTCCATATATATATACATAACTTCTTTTTTATCAAGGAACGTTCAATTTTCACATTGAAACTGGGGTACATGATTTCGTTTTCCTCGCGGAAGTGCAAGACGAAGTCGATTTTCAATGACTGAACTCACTACTACAGTCCTTTCCAGCAGTACACCGACCTTTATCTTGGGCGTTGCTGACTTGCATCCAGAATGAGAGGAAGAAGGGACATACCTAGCCCGCCTTTTTCCAAGCGGGTATGTAGCACGTTATGCTCAGGGAAGTGGGCAGTAAGGTTCCTCCTGGTGTGGTAGGTAGGACATCTGGACAAGAAGTCCCTGCTGCACTAGTAAGTCAACACAGAGTTCTGTTACAGAACAGATTTCTCCCACTGTGTCTATTTCTGTCCCAGTGTGTCTATTTCTGTTAAAACAGGAGTTTATATACATGAAACTACAAGCTATCATTTTGGGCAATTTTCACCCAGAAAAATGGGGGTGCACACCTTAGTCAAGGGTGCATGGTACTCAAGTAAATACTGTAGATCTATTGAAAAAGTCAGTCAGTTGGATCCAGTGCTGACAATAAGCAAATTGTAACTTATTTACCAATAAAGTTGAATCCAGAATACAAATATATACCTTACTCAAGTAATGGGCTTGAAATTGTCTATTAAAGTTTACTCATGATGTTTATAGGAGTATGTATAGCGTATACTTGATCAAAATTTATATGTATCAGAACAAATAGGGAGCCACAGCATTGTTCATCCTTTATTCGTGAGAATTTGAAGAAGCCTTCAAGATTTTCAGCAAGTTTCATATAATGCATGTGCAGGTGAGATACGTCTATATGTGTAGACACAAATGTGCTTAAGAGCATAAGTGCAAGGTATGTAGCTCAGCACTGGCATGAAGCTGGACACCAATGCAAGAGTAAGGAGCTTTGAATCCCCCCTGCAGCAACATCTCACAGCGCATGCATGAAAACACAGCCACACACACACACACACACACACACACTGTAACACACACACACATGTTCACCCTCTCTCAAAAACACACTTCCCAGCACATAGCACAGCCTCTCTCACAAAAAACTTTCAAAACAGCCACTCCTTCATGCCAGCAGTTCATGATTATACTCCTGTAATCATTGGCTGTTACCCCAATAATTTTTCTTACTGAAAACTTGGCAGAAGCAGCTGCTAATTGCAGGATCAATCAGGGGCTGATTCTGCCAATATTTTCCTGCTTGAAAAAGCAGTAGGGCAGCACTGATTGCTCCTGCAACCAGCAGTGTCCCCAGCCACTGAGTGGCCAGGGCAGCCAATATGCATGCCTCTGGCTTACATTGGCTGCTTCTGCCACTCAGTGCCCCAAGCCACTGAGTGGCATGGGCAGCCAATCAGGACTCCTGCAGTCATTGGCTGCTCCTGCCCATGTTTTTCCCTCTGAAAAATTTTGTGAGAGCAGCTGGTAATTGAAGTAGGAATTAAACAGAGGATACTAAGGCTCTCCATGGCCACATATGTGTCCATCAAGAGCCTTTCAAAGTAAGATGTGTGGATACATTCTATTATTTGGTGATTGGTTGCATATACACAACCAAGCATGTAATATTGGCAGTGTATGCCAATGTTGACTGGAGCAGTTGCATCTGGAGGTTTTTTGGTGTATTCTGGTTAGTTGGCAGCTATAACAACTGCACCTCATCAAATGCTCAGCTAACTGTCTAGTTGGGCTTAGCTCATAAACCAACAGGCAGGCAGGAAGTGCGGAGGGAGGGGGAACATATGTGCACCACCTCTGTGTGCCAGCTATTCAAGACTGGCACATGGCTCCCTCAGGGAGCTGGATTTTGTTGCAAAGGGAGTTGTGGACAGCTCCTAATGCTAGCATAATGCCTGCATGGGACAGTGTTCAAGGTAGTGGCAAAATTTCTTCATTGTACTCCATACAACAGCAAGAAGCTCAGGTTTGGTGTTGGGGTATTGGCATTCACCATCAGAGACAACACAGTTGGCATACTCCACCATATGGTGGATATTGACATTATCAATTTGGACTAAGATGGCCCCAAGAGATGTAGCCAAAGCATTGTAGTGGACTTCAGTCTGGAAGCTTGGGTTGAAGCATTCAAGGCATGTTGCATTGACAATATTTTCCTTGATTGCAGGAAGGCTGCATCAGCTTTGGGTGTCCATTGTAAGAGAGCATTGGATTTTGCAGGTATGATGCCGCAGATAATGTGTTCAAGTGATGCAAAGTTTGAGGGTACGTGAGCTCAAATGTATGTCACTATAGGCCAAGGAATCTCTGCATTTGTTCGGGGTTGGACATGGTGTGGGAAGTGGCAGACCTCATCCAGGTTATGCTCAGCAGGACATATGCCAGTTTGGTCAATGACATGCCCCACAAATATAATGGAGTGGGCCAGGAAACATGATTTATGGATTTCAATGGTGGCACCAGCATTGAAGAGTTCTTGGAGGACTGTGTTGAGGTTGGTGCAGATGTCATCAAAGGTTGGGCCAAAAATGATGATGTCATCAATGTATGCAATACAGTGGATGTACAGTAGGTGGGGTTGCAGGATCACCTGAATGGTACATTGAAAGATTGCAGGGCCATTGCAAATTCCATGGGACAGCACAGTATACTGCATTTGCCCCATTGGAGTGGAGAAGGCAGTCTTCTGGCAGTCATGTTGTGCCAACAGGACTTGATGGAAGGCAGAACATAAGTAAATGCAAAAGAAGAAGGCATTTCCATGGCCCAATGCATCAAGCAGATCTTGTATGACAGGCAATGGGTATGTATCAGGGATAAGTAATTGGTTGAGGCATTATTCAACATCTTCTGCAAGGCAACATTTGTTGGATGGGGCATCAGGGTCAGCCCACCTCTTGGGTATGAGGAATGCAGGTGCATTATATGTGGTGATGCAAGTTCAATGATCCTGGCTGTCAGGTATTCTTGAAGGATGTCATGGAATGGAGCATGTTTGTCTGGGGCCAGGTGGTAAGGTTGGCAGGCAGGAGGCAAAGAAGTTGTAGTTGGAATCTCTGCAACATGATCAGGTAGGAGTCTGTGTTTGGCTGACCATTGGAAAAAAGTGTTTTGGTGGGCACAGAGGATGTCAGTAATGCATTGTTGTTGTGAAGGTGTGCCATTGACAAAGGTGATGCCATGTCCCACAGAAAGCAGTGGATTGGTGAGCGGAAATTTCAGGTTGTTGAATCAAATAGAGATGCAATGTCTGTCAAGAGTGATTGCCAATGGGAGGTAGTGGAGGAGGTCTTGGCCACAGATGATGTCATAACTGGAGTGATACAGCACCCAAAATGATGCAGTGTAGGGTGTGGAGTGGAAGTTGAAGGAAGTGCTGGAGACTGAAGCAGATGTGGGGAGGAGTGTGTTGGAAGCATGCAGCTGTATATACTGATGATCTCTTGGCAGGGATGGAGGGGTAGCTGGAGGTGTTGAGCAAGTGCACAGGACATGATGGAGTGAGGTGCTCCTGTGTCCAGGAGGGTATGGACCTGGGTGGAACAAAATTGAAGTGGTTGTGGTGTGGTAGGAGCAGCATGGGAGGAGCAGTGAGTCACATTCACTGCCCCAATGGCCGTTTCCCTGGACAAATGTGGTGGAGTTTTTGGGGCAGTCACAAGAAATATTGCCTGGTTGGAGACACTGTAGCATGTGCGGTTTTCCATGTGACAATTATTTTGTTGTGTTGTTGGTAGGTTTCAGTTGGCAGGCAGCAGTGTGGTGATGAACAAAGTGTTTGTGGAAGTCACACCAGCTGAGAGTGGGTAGTGCCAGTGGTTGTTCCAGCTGAGGGACAATATGCCTGGGAGGAGGTCAGCAGGCCAGCATTTCTGGTGTGCACCATGCAGAATGTATCAGTGGTTTGGAGCAAGTCAAGCCAGGTGATGGTGGTAATGGTGGTGACACAGGTCCAGATGCGCAGCAAGTTCTGTTTCACAGACAAGCAAGACCTGGGCAAGTAGTGTGTGCAGAATGACAGTGGCAGTGGGTGTGAGTAGCAGGTTGTGATCTGATAATTGGAGGTAGCAGAGGTACTCTTCTTGAAGGCATTCTCCAAATTGTTGGCAGGATTTGTGTGGATGGGGCCAGAGGGACTGGAAGGGTCAGAGATGGTCAAATTTGGGGATTCTAAATTGGTGGGAGATGCATGCAGAAATGTCAGCATACTGCCTGACTCCAGCATGGAATGATGGAAGAGGCATTTTGCAGCAAGGACAATGTTGGACCAGGTGGCATTCAGGAGGTAGATGGTGCATTGGTGTTTCCTGGGCATTTTGTCTAGCTCAAAGGAGATGCAGATGCAGGCAAGGAAGTCATCAATGTATTTGTCATTGGCTTGGTGGGTCAGGTTGGCACAACAAGGGTGGTGGAGGTTGGTGGTGCTTGGATTTTGGGTGGTGGCAGAGTGGAATAGGATTGATGGGGAGATCTTGAGGCATTTCAGGGTTTGGATGAAGTTTTTCTTCAGACCTGAGGTGGACTTCTCAATGTCAGCAGAGCCAAAGAAGGCTTTGATGTGGGAAACAGCGATGCAGAACCAAACACTGGCATCCTCTAGGGTGGAGAGGTCTTTACAATGGATGGGGTTCTGCACAGTGATGGTGCTGGTTGCAGATTGGGGGATGGGTGGACAGGAGTCTCGTTGTGAATCAGCATGGTTTGAAGGATGTTGGGCTAAGGATCAGCAGTGGCCAAGGTGTGATGTGATGTGCAGCAACAGGTTCACAGCAAAAGATTCTTGCAGACAAGCCACCAATAAGGTTCATTGTTGTGTTGGACAAGGTATGGTAATCTGGACAAGCAGTTGCTGCAGCACAATAAGTAAATCAATACACAGTGTTCTTTTTGAAAAGATTTCTCCAAGTGTGTTTGTTTCTGTTAAAACATGAGTTTATATCCATGAAACTTCAAAGGATGTGGCAGAAATAGGGTCAGGGTCTTGGAGGTCACTGAGGGATAGTTTTCAACAACAATTCTGCTGTTTTGGGGTTTTATTGGGGTTTTGTGATACCTGTGCGGCTTCTTGTCCTTGTGGTGGATTATAAGTGATGGCTTCTTCTCCTTGTCATGTTTATCTTGTTGTGAGGGCAGAAGACCTTACTGTGACATTTGTGCAGGTTGGGCATGTAATCATGAATTTAACTGTAGTACAAAGTCTACAGACAAACTACTGTACAGGCCAGTATAGTACTGTACATTCAAACTGCCTGAAATACCGCCATCCTATTTGTGGCATGATTCTTGTGGTTCAAGATGGGGGTGGTGGTTCATGCTGAGGGTAGCAGTGGACCTAGTGGGGTGACCATGAAAGTATGAAAGAATAAATTATTCTCTAGAATCATCTCTTTATACCTGCTTGCAAAGATAC